CACTACATTCATAACTTCCTCTCTAATGCTTTTCTCAACCTTTCCATTTATGACCTTCCACTCCTTCTCATTATTTTCATAATGATTGGCTTCAAAATGTGTAGCAGATGAAGGGTGTGACTCTAACGATATTGGAAGATGAAATGCAGTTTCTTGAGGTATGAGTTGAGTAGTAGGTGGTTTTTTGGGTAATTTGAGTAAGAATTTGATGACTGAGAGGAAAATTTTGGAGAATTTTGGTATCTGAATATTGAGAAGTAGGTGACTTTTGGAGTGAGGAGCTAGCATGATGTGGGTTACGGGTGGTTAAGTCAATGATGGAAGGTTTTGGAATTGTAGAAGTGGTTGAATAGTTTGGGAAATGTTCGGACGTTGGATCTGAATTAGGAAAATGGAGTGGAGGCCTCTCGTTGTCTAGAGCAGGAGTGTTGGCCATAATAGCTAGATTTGTCAAATCTCGGGTTTTATCCATTTCTGCCCTTATTTCAGCAATCTCTTGGAATAACTGTACAATCAACTTGTTTTGTTCAGCAATGATAGGTCATTCACAATAACTTCATTTAAATCAGTATTCTCAACATTTTCAACCATTTTTGCCTTTCCTTTTGACGAAAATTGGTCGGAGAAGGAATCTTTGGGGTCTTTGGACCTCTTGAAGTAAGGACGTTCAATCGTTTTCTAAACACAAATCAGTTTTGAGTACCTAGCAAAGAAAAATAACTCAAAAGCAAATGTGTTAGCTTGTGTAGATGTTGAATAATACAAAATATCACACACAATTTTGTAAACACATAAAAATTATTTCACTTGAAGATAAACTAGCCCACTCATATAGAAAGATGACTTAATAGAAAGACATTTGTCTATTGATTTAGGATAAATGAATAAGAATTGTCGACTTGAGTCGGGACAAAGTTGATTGTATCTTTCATTGTTGTACTTTTGTTTTTTTATTGAGATGTAACTCTAATTTCTTTGTAAGAGTTGAAAAAGATAAAATTTATCAAAATAGGGACCGAACCTTGAAAGGCTGCCTACATATCTCACAAAAGAGAATTCAGGACCTACGTAGTTCAACCCTCTTGAACCTTTTTGATTTGAAAATAACGAATCTCTTTTGATATGAGAGACTAATATTTGAAAAATGAAGTTTGATTTTTTTTTCTTGGGAAACTAAAGACTCAAAGAGTATTTGGACGTACTTGTGATAGTGACTTGATATTTGTGCTTAGGGTTTCTAAAAAATTTCGAACGAGAGTGAGCTAGAATATCTCCAAATAAAGCAACATATTCACATAAGCAGTTATGTCACGACCCAATTTCTCGAGCCATGAAGGCACCTACTATAACCCAAACTTCACCTCAAATCCGGTCCCCAAATCAGATTCCAAGCTCACCAATGCGTTGCCCTCGAAAAAACTCACAACTTAGCCTTTTGAATCGCCCAATTTGGAGTTGTATAGCTCAAGATATCAAGATTTCAAAGTAAGACACAAAGCTGAAAGTTGGGTTTTTATAAGGACGAATCTGGTCATTAAAAACCCAATTTCTGGTCGTTAAAACCCCAATTTCTGGTCGTTAAAAAGGTTGCACCAGATTCAGCTTTGCCTACTTTCTTTAAAGTCTCCGACGGGTGCTCGGAATCCGTTCGGAACCTGATAAAAATAAAATAGATATGCTACCCTACCAAAGTCAACATTTCGGACTCAAAGGCGCAGTCGAAATTTTCATCAGAGGTCATCTCGATAAAATGTGGGTCCCACTTTTGTTGGCCATTTAAAGTCAAAAACCACAAAAGGGCTCGGAAAAATATCAAAAACCTCAAAACCCGAAAGAAGGGTCAAACTAGACCAAACTCGACATTCCGGAGCTAACCGCGCTGACGGAATTCTCATCCGAGCGCGTTTACTCAGAATGTTGACTAAAGTCAAACTTAGCCTTTAAACTTAAAGTTAAAACGCCTAATCCCACCAACTCACACTGAAAACTTTGGGAGTCATGTCGACAATGCTACTAGACTAAAATGACCCTTCCAGAACTGATGGAATCGTCAGAATTGAATTCTGATGTCATCTTCTTGAACTTTTGATCGAAAATGATCGTTCAAGGTTCATAAGCTTCAAAAATACTAAAGCTCACACAATAACAAAACGAATGACCAGGTGACCGATCTGTCAGTCCCAGCAAGTTATAAATGACTTGGAATAGCTATAGAAACGCTCTAAACGATGCACAGAAGATAAAACACTAAAAATGACAAGAAGGGTTACAATATCCACTACTAAAAAGAACTTTCGTCTGCGAAAGTAAGGGTCAAGAAGTACCTGAAGGCTCAAACAAGCCGGGAAACTGCTCTCGCATTTCCTGCTCGGTCTCCCAGGTAGCCTCCTTGAGTGAACGATGCCTCCAACGGACCTTAACAATAGGAATGGCTCTAGGCGCAATTTCCTCACATCTCTGGCTAGGATGGCAACTGGCTCTTCTACAAATGTCAAATGATCATCCAACTCAATTGCATCATACTAGAGCACATGGGACTCATCAGGAATATATCGGCGTAGCATCGAGACATGGAAAACTGGATGGATGGATGAAAATGCTGGAGGTAGGTCCAACTCATAAGCAACCTCCCCAACTGTCCGAAGTATCTCAAAAGGCCCAATATACCTGGGGCTAAGCTTACCCCATCTCCCAAATCTCATCACACCCTTCATGGGAGACACACGGAGAAATACCCGATCACCAACAGAGAATCTCAAAGGTCGACGCCTCCGTTCTCATAACTCTGGTGCCTACTCTGAGCTGTCCTGAGTCTATCCTGAATCACTCTCACCTGCTCCAAAGCCTCCTGAATCAAATCTGTACCTCGCGGCCTAGGCTCTGTAGACTCGAACCAGCCCACTGGAGTGCGACAACGCCTACCATACAAGGCCTCAAACGGGGCCATTTGAATGCTAGAATGGTAGCTGTTGTTATATGCAAATTCCGCCAAACGCAAGCACTAGTCCCATTGACCACCAAACTCCAAAACACAAGCCCGTAGCATGTCCTCAAGGACCTGAATAGTGCACTCTGACTGACCATCAGTCTGCGGGTGGAAAGTTGTGCTCAGGTCAACCCGGGTGCCCAACTCATCCTGAAAGGTCCTCCAAAAGCTAGATGTGAACTGAGAACCCCGATCTGATATAATAGAAATTGGCACCCCATGAAGTCGAACCACCTCCCGAATGTAGATACGAGCCAACCTCTCGGCACTAAATGAAGATTGAACAGGAAGGAAATGTGCTGACTTGGTCAATCGATCAACGATGACCCAATACTATCAACTCCTCTAAAAGTCCTCGGTAGACCAGCCACAAAATCCATAGTAATGCGGTCCCACTTCCATTCCGGAATGGGTAATCCCTGAAATTCACCACCAGGCCTCAAATGCTCAGCCTTTACCTGCTGGCAGCACAAGCAACAAGAAACAAAGTCAGCAATATCTCGTCTCATGCCTCTCCACCAGTAATGTTGTCTCAAATCACGATACATCTTCGTTGTACCCAGATGGATAGAATATCTAGACTCATGAGCCTCCGAAAGTATCAACTGTATCAAATCTCCAACTCTCGGGACACAAATGCGACCAGCGAATCTCAACACTCCATCAGGATCTAAGGTAGCCTGATCACCATTACCCGCTAACACTCGGTCTCTAAGGGACCCCAGGGCCTTATCCTCAAACTGACAACCACGGATCCTATCATACAAAGAAGACTGAACTCCCATATAAGCCAAGACGCGTCTAGAATCTGAGATATCTAATCGAACCATGCTATTGGCTAAAAACTGAATGTCCAAAGCCAAGGGTCTTTCACCTGCAGATAATAATGCTAGACTACCCATACTCACCGCCTTTCAGCTCAAGGCGTCTGCTACCACGTTCGCCTTGCCCGGATGATATAGAATGGAGAGATCATAATCCTTCAGGAGCTCAATCCAACGACACTGCCTCGAATTAAGGTCCCTCTAGCTCAAGATGTACTGAAGACTCTTGTGGTCGGTATAGATCTCACATCAAACTCCATACAAGTAGTGCCTCCAAATCTTAAGCGCAAAAACTACCGCTGCCAACTCCAAGTCATGGGTGGGGTAGTTGCGCTCATGGACCTTGAGTTGTCTCGACGCATACGCAATAACCCGGCCCTGCTGCATCAATACACAACCCACACCAACACCAGATGCATCACAATAAATCGTGAAACCCTCACCCTCAATCGGAAGAGTCAATATAGGAGCGCTAGTAAGCAACTCCTTAAGCTTCAGAAAGCTCATCTCACACTCCTCCGACCACACAAAGGGAATATCCTGGTGAGTCAACCGAGTCAAAGGAGCTGCAATAGTAGAAAAACCCTCAACAAAACGCATGTAGTAACTCGCTAACCCGACAAAGCTACGAACCTCAGTAACAGAAGTGGGTCTGTCCCAATCACGAATAGCTTCAATCTTCGTCGGATCTACCTTAATACTCTCCTTGGACACCACGTGCCCCAAGAATGATACAGATGCAAGCCAAAATTCGCACTTTGAGAACTTGGCATAAAGCTGCTGATCTCTCAAAGTCTGGAGCACTATCCTCAAATGTTGCTCATGCTCACTCCGGCTCCGCGAGTATACCAATATGTCATCAATGAAGATGATAACAAATGAACCAAGGTATGGCCTGAACACACGTGTCATCAAGTCCATAAAGGCGGCTAAGGCATTAGTCAACCCAAAAGACATCACAAGGAACTCATAATAGTCGTAACGAGTCCTAAATGCAGTCTTAGGGATGTCTGCTGCTCTAATCCTCAGCTGATGGTACCCAGACCTCAAATAAATCTTAGAAAATACGACGGCACCCTGAAGCTGATCAAACAAATCATCTATACGAGGCATAGGGTAACGGTTCTTCACCGTCACCTTGTTCAGCTGTCTGTAGTCAATGCACATCCTCAAAGTCCCATCCTTCTTTTTCACAAACAGAACAGAGCACCCCAAGGCGACACACTCGGACGAATGAACCCCTTTTCTAAGAGGTCCTTTAACTGAACACTGAGCTCTCTAAGCTCTGCAGGAGCCATCCAATAAGGCGGAATAGAAATAGGACGAGTGCTGGGCTCCAAATCTATAGCAAAATCAATGTCACGCTCTGGGGGTAGGCTAGGTAGATCTGTAGGGAACACATCTGCATACTCTCTAACCACAGGAACTGAGTCAACTGAAGGGCCCTCCCTACTCACATCTCTGATGTGGGCCAAATACGCTAAACACCCAGAAGCAACCAACCGCCTAGCTCGAATAAAAGAGATTATCCCCGTCGGTGTGTGACTATAAGCAGCCTGCCACAATACCGGGGGAACACCAGGCATGGATAAGGTAACAGTCTTGGCATAGCAATCCAAGACCACATGATATGGGGATAACCAGTCCATGCCCAAAATCACATCAAAATCAATCATATCTAGCATAATAAGATCAGCTCTAGTATCATAACCCTGGATAGTCACTAAGCAAGATCGCAATACTTGATCCACTACTAAGAACTCACCTATCGAGGTCGAAACATGAACCGGCTCTGCCACAGACTCGGACCTCATACCCAATCGGGGAGCAAAATAAATAGATACATACGAGAATGTGGACCCTGGATCAAATAATACTGTAGCAGGCTGATGGCACAAGAAGAGCGTACCTGAGATGACATCGTCAGATGCCTCAGCCGCCGCCCTTGTCGGGGCAGCATAGAAATGGCCCTGAGCACCTCTACCTGGTGCACCCGGTCTACCACCTGACCTACCTCCCCGAGCTCCACCCCTGGTACCCTGTCGACTCTCTTGACGGTCCTGAATCTGACCACCTCCTCTAGCCGAAGAAGACACGGCTGAAACTGGTTTAGAAGTAGGTGGAGCTGGTACAATCGCCCCCCGACCTCGTCGGGGGCATTCTCTAGACCAATGGTCAAGAGCACCACAATCATAACACCCTGAAGCTGAACGCCCTGTAGTAACCCGACCGCGGCATGAAGGAAAAGAATCTGATCCCCTCGAATTCTGGCCTGTACTAGGACCACTCTGCTGATATTGGCCTCCCTCAGAAACAGGTAATGCCGCCTAAACAGGCCGACTGGTCTGACCTTGCTGGAACCTCTGACGTGGCCTATCATATGAGTCCCTCCCCCTAGTCTGCGACTCGCTATAGCTGCCCTGGTAGCGTGCCCTCTTATCGCTGCTCCCTTGAGCCTCACGATGAATATGCTCCATGGATCGGGCATGATCGACCACATCAAGAAAAGAACGGCCAGCTGAAACCATATGCTCTGTGTCAACCCTCAAACGGTATCGCAACCCACGTACAAAACAACGAACTCTCTCTCCCTCTATGGGCAGGATCATAGTAGCATGGCGAGACAACTCATGGAACCTCGCCTCATACTCTGAAACGGTCATAGATCCCTGCTCCAATCTTGAGAACTGATCACGAAGCCTATCTCTAACGCTCCGTGGCATGAACCGGGCCAAGAAAGCCTCTGAGAACTCACTCCAAGATATAGGAGGAGATCCAACTGGCCTAGACTCTCGATACGTGCGCCACCACTGCCTAGCTGGCCCACGGAACTAATGAACGGTAAAGTCTGCTCCTCTCGACTCTAAAAGGCCTAATGACTATAACTGCTCCTGGCAAGTGAGCTGGAACTCGTGAGTGCCCTCTCCAATCGCCCCTGAGAATATATGCGGTGCCAACCTCTGAAATACCCCAAGCATCTTTTGATCCCGCAGTGGCATCTCTCTAACCTCTAAGTCTGGTGGGGCGGCCACATGAACTGGTGGCGGCTGATCTTGCAGCACTGGTGCTGGTACTGCTGGTGCTGGTGCTGGTGCTGGTTCCTGTCGCATATTCCCAATAGCTGCTAATATCTGAGTCAAGAGGGAATGAAGATCAGGTGCTGCAACTGGTGCGGGTGGTGGATGGGCATGCCCCGGCCCCACTGGCTGTGGCGGTACATGCGCTGTATGAGGCTCCTCCTCCATAACCCGCGCCGGTGCTGCAGCCCTACCTCGACCTCGTGGTCGACGTCTACCCCAAGCTGAGGCTCCAGGTGCATCTCCCCCGAACGCACCACCTCGCGTGCGAGCCATCCTGTAATAGAGTGAAACAACTGAGATTTTAAGAAACAAACAAGACACACGCGGCACGAATTTGAAACAAAATGGATATTTTCCTAAATACTTCCTGTAGCCTCCTGAAGATAAGTTACGGACATCTCCGCACCGATCCGCAGGACTCTACTAGACGTTAGCTCTGTAAAAGTGAGACCGTTGAACCTAGGGCTCTGATACCAACTTGTCACGACCCAATTTCTCGAGCCATGAAGGCGCCTACTATAACCCAAAATTTACCTAAAATCGGGTCCCCAAATCAGATTCCAAGATCACCAATGCGTTGCCCTCGAAAAATCTCACAACTTAGCCTTTTGAATTGCCCAATTTGGAGTTGTATAGCTCAAGATATCAAGATTTCAAAGTAAGACACAAAGCTGAAAGTTGGGTTTTTATAAGAACGAATCTGGTCATTAAAAACCCAATTTCTGGTCGTTAAAACCCCAATTTCTGGTCGTTAAAAGGGCTGTACCAGATTCAGCTTTGCCTACTTTCTTTAAAGTCTCCGACGGGTGCTCGGAATCCGTTCGGAACCTGATAAAAATAAAATAGATATGCTACCCTACTAAAGTCGACATTCCGAACTTGCAGTCGAAATTTTCATCAGAGGTCATCTCGATAAAATGTGGGTCCCACTTCTATTGGCCATTTTAAGTCAAAAACCAAAAAAGGGCTCGGAAAAATATCAAAAACCTCAAAATCCGAAAGAAGGGTTAAACTAGACCAAACTCGACATTCCGGAGCTAACCGCGCTGACGGAATTCTCATCCGAGCACGTTTACTCAGAATGTTGACTAAAGTCAAACTTAGCCTTTAAACTTAAAGTTAAAACGTCTAATCCCACCAACTCACACTGAAAACTTTGGGAGTCATGTCGACAATGCTACTAGACTAAAATGACTCTTCCGAAACTGATGAAATCGTCAGAATTGGATTCTGATGTCATCTTCTTGAACTTTTGATCGAAAATGATCGTTCAAGGTTCATAAGCTTCAAAAATACTAAAGCTCACACAATAACAAAACGAATGACCAGGTGACCGATCTGTCAGTCCCAGCAAGTCATAAATGACTTGGAATCGCTATAGGAACGCTCTAAACGATGCACAGAAGATAAAACACTAAAAATGACAAGAAGGGTCATTACAAGTTATAACATATCAACAGTTATTGCGCGGCATAAGCTAATATGTGACCCTTTTGTGTCAAGGGTAGGCCTAGCGATTTGAGAGATATATACGTCATTTTAAACATTTAATTGCCCCCAAAATCCAAATTTATGCAAACTTTATGAATAAAGGTATGGGATACATAATAGCGAAAATGGGATACAAAATATTCAGTCCCACGCAGGGTTACAGTCCTATATGATGCTTCCATGTAAGGATCTTCGTTCTTTCTTAATTTCTTGTCATCTCAGGGTGCCAACGTCTTTGGATGGACTAGTAGTTTGTGAAAGTCTTTCTTCAACTAGAGTAAACTATAATATATTCTTTAGCCCACGAGACAATGATTTTTCAAACAACGTATACATCCTTCAAATTTAAACACATAAGTATGAATGTCCTTTTAGGCCATGGGCCATTTTGGACTCAAGGTGGTCTCTTTAATGGGTCCAACATGCCTTGGGTGTTGGGTCATCTTAGTTCAAAGTGCTCTAAATTCATGATTTGGTTTACCTTTATCCTAGTTGACTAAGAGTGGCTTTGAAAGACCGGGAACCCAAGTGGACAACTTAATCTGAAATTCACGACAACTATTGGACGCATGACTAACCAATAAATTGCTGCTTATTCCGAAAAAGGGTTGAGTATAAAAATTCAGATTGTGGTTTCGTAAATCATTCTTTAATATACTATACATATATATCAAAAGATGTCAGGAAATGCAATGACAGTTTTTGAAAATTTAGACATATTCGGCACAAACGTCATTTGACAATTAATAAAAATTAGTCAAACAGTCAAATCTCATGGTTAGAACTAAATTAGTTCTCCAGTGGAGTTGTCATTTCTATTTTACGAAAAATATTGTAAAAGAAAAAATAACTAAGTTTCGAAAAATCAATTAATCTTATGACTTAAGAGAAATCGACTTTCCGAATTAATAGAGTCGCCACTTGATTTTTTTAGTAAAAATCAAGAAAAAATCTTATAATTATTTTCAAAAGATTTAAACAGGTAAAATCAATTGAAAAAGGGTTCGAAGTTCAACTGTACATTTCGAAAAGGTGTTAGACCCTCGAAATGCCCATTTACTTGCGGTTGACCAACGATTTAACTAAAAATAACTTTTCAACTAACTTTTCAAATTTTTAATTAAGCAATAAAAATTCATATTTTTTTAGTTACTTATTCCTATTATTTTCTAATTAATTATTTCAATTGGAAATAAACTAAAGGTGAATTTTCTAAGAAAAATAATTCAAATATTGACAAAACTAATAGTGAAAATAAAACTAACTAATAATTATATATTTTGACAAGACTAATAGTGAAAATAAAACTAAGTAATAAATATATATTATGACAAGACTAATAGTGAAAATAAAACTAAGTAATAAATATATATTTTGACAAGACTAATAGTAAAAACGGAAGAAGACCTAAAATACCCTTAAAGTATTGAAAATGGTAAAAAATTACCCTCTATTCACCTATTGGCTCTAAAATACCCTTCTCACACACCTATTAGGTCCAAAATATCCTTGTCATCCACCTTTTGGTTCAAAGTTGACCACTTATTTAACGGTTTTATATTTAAACTATTTAAATATTTTTTAAAATACGTGGCGCTCAACTATTTGTTATAATTTAACTTACTTGTATAATTTATAAATCAATCCACTACCCACTCATTACTAATTAAATCCCTCTAAATTAATGAACCCGTCACATTATTAATGCAAGCTACTGCCAATTGAGTGTTTTTTAAAAATTATAAAAGTAAATTATCATACATTCAAGTGGCTAAATAAAAATCACCGATAAACTTAAAAGTCTGACTATATTCATCTTAAATATTCTTACGTCTCAATTATGTGATGTTACTTCATATGTAGCTTTTTTTCAAAATAATATATTAAAAGTTTTAAAACAAATCATAGATATTTATAAAATTATATTTAAAAAAGTGCGTGAATTAACTCGGGATGTATTACTTCTTTACCTTTAATCATAAATTTCTTATTCAATTTTGAAAGAAAGTGTCCTCAAAAATAAGCGGCTCAGCCTAAATTTAATTGGGGCTTCGATTCGGACTCGAATAATTTTGAATGATATTTTGAGGAATCTATAATTTCATCGTGTTTTAGTAGTGTTTATGACGATTTTGATATTATAATTGAATTATTAATTGGGCGAGATTTAGTTAGTAATGAGTGGGTAGTGGGTTGGTTTATAAATTATATTAATAAATTAAAATTATAATCAATAGTTGAGAGCCAAGTATTTTAAAAAATATTTAAAGAGTTTAATTTTAAAACAATTAAAAAAGTGATCAATTTTAAACTCAAAGGTGGATGACAATGGTATTTTGGAGCCAATAGGTGGATGAAAAAGGTATTTTGGAGCCAATAGGTGGATGAAAAGGGTATTTTGGAGCCAATAGGTGGATGAAAAGTGCATTTTGGAGCCAATAGGTGGATGAAGGATAATTTTGTACCATTTTCAATACTTTAAGGGTATTTTAGGCCCTTGTCCGTAGTAAAATAAAGCTAAGTAATAAATTTATATTTTGACAAGTCTAAAAGAGAAATGATTATCTTTGGGGAATTAATTAAGTTAAGCCAAGATGTTAGCAACATAATAACAAATAAATAAATAAATAGAATGAGGGAGAAATTTGAATTTGGACCCTTTGTCCCAATTTTAAATTTGATGGGCCTTTGGCCCAAAACATGTCCTGCAAATGGATGAGTTTGGCCCCTTTTCACTCTCAAACATCTGTGTATACAACAAATGTATATTGTTGTATATAGGTCATATTTTGACCAATTTTCATGTGCATAGGACTGTATACCAAGTGTATGCAACCCTCTTCAACTCCTGCAACCTATATTTCAATTTTCAGTCTTGTATTCACTGCACCTAAGCCTGTATATCATGTAGACATTATCTGTATACCACTGTATATACCAAATATGTAGCATGTTTTCAAAATTTCAGGGGCTTGGAATCAATGTTTAAGCCCTGATAGTCGGTTCCCTTGACTCGAACAACAAAGAAGCCGACTCGAAGAAATTCAACTCGATGATATGCTAAGAGGGGAGTCCGAAGGGACTCGGATGGAGCTTCACATGCAAAATGGAAGGAAGAGAATTAACAAAGAACCTTTTTACTTGAGTAAATTTAATAGAGGGAACAAGAATTATTTTGACACAAATAATTGATATCTAGGTGCTCAAAACGAAAAATAAAACAAAATGCATAGTGTATAAATAAATGATCATGACTAAGCTTCCTATTTGCAGTAATTGGCGGCATAACCCAGTAGTAACATATACATTACTAGAAACCATAAGCATATCCTTGTATATAACACATAGTCACAACCATAATATCAAATCAATCTTGAATACATAGAACTTAATACTAATCACTCAAATAAAATCCTATAACTTAGAGCCTGTTTGGCTCAGCTTAAAAGCTGGTCAAACTGACTTAAAAGCTGATTTTTGACTTATTTAGCTGTTTGGCAATACTCAAAACAACTTATTTTAATTTAAAAAAAACTTATTTTAAGCCAAAAGTTAAAAACTGGGGTAGAAGTGCTTTTTTTTTTCCAGCTTATAAGTTGTTTTAAGTTGACCACATTTTTACCTTTTTGCATTTAATATTTTTATACAATCTCCAAATTACCCACATAACCCTAACATCTCTTTCTTCTATTTTTCCCCTTTTACGTGTGGATGATAGACAATTACTATTACTAATGAATGTAAATAAAATAAATCTTAAATCATTCAAGTGATCTATTCAAATTATATATTATTAAAACGTAAAATAAGTTGCACATATAACTTAAATAAAAATTTATATTCCTCTTATAAATAATTTGTGATAATAAAGAAATATGTGAATGATAGACAATTATTATTACCTATGGATGAAACTAAAATAAAATCTTAAATCGTTCTTTAATCTATTCAAATTATATATCTTTAAAATCTATAATAAATTTATATTCCTCTTATAAATAATTTGTGATGAGAAAGAAATATGTGGATGATAACAATATATAATTATTTATGGCTGTAAAATATAAATTAATTAACTTTTATTATGTTAACAGCTTTTAAGGGTATTTCAGACATTTTGATTTAAAAAGCTGTTTATCCGCACTTATTTGCCAAACACATCAACAACTTTTTTTTAACTTCAACACTTTTATCCAAACGTATAACTGCTTATTTTAAAAATAAGTTTTTAATAAGCCCATCCAAACGGGCCGTTAGATAATAGCTACTACTTTCAAATAAGACATATCAAAATGAAGGAGGGATTTGTATAACTTTTTCTTGTTTTAGAAATAAAATAAAGCCATATCCAGAAATGTGGTCAAATCTTACAGATGCAGCAAACTTGAGTTAGAAGAATGAAACAAGAAACACAGCAAATGCCATCAGGACAGAGTAAAACAAAGCATACATTCCAAAGTAGACTCAACGAAGAAACCAAATGAAAGAAATTGAGACGGTTAGTAACAGACACAATATAAGAACTTGAAATGTTGACATCTTAATTCATTTTTCATACTCAAGGCGAAAGAATAAAGCATATGACATTGAAAATCAAACAATATTATGTATTCATGGCGATTAGAATATATAAGGAGTAAAACAAATAGAAGTGCTTGACAACTAGACTATAAAAGAAGGTAAGACTATGAAGGAAGGTAAGAACATAAAGAAATCGTAAAGGGGACAGAACAATATAGCCAATATATTCAAAGTGTAAATCACATAAATGTAAATAGCACGACCAACATGAATCAAAGCAAACTTTATTGATTTCGGATTAAAGCTTGTTGTCCGAAAACTCACAAGAAAAACAAATATCGAATGCACACAATATGCTACATTGAAACAAAATACAAAAGGAAATGGCAATACCTTTCTCAGGCCAGCGAAATGAGACAACGAGTAGGGACGAACTCTTCCACCACACGAGTTCGAATCTCGAGCAGCTGACCACGAAATGCAAACCAGACTCGAATAAAGGTTCTCTCACAACTTAGGATTAAAGAAAACGTATAAAAGTTCTTGAATATAAATATGACTGTTCAAAAGAAATCCCAACTGTAAACTTCAACACTTTTTTCCCCCAACTCACTCTAACTATCCCCAATCTTTTTTCCTCAACCTTTTCCCAAATTTCTCAGTTCTTTTCTCCAACTAAACAATGAAGAATAAGCGGATATTTATAAGGGGAGATTTAGAGTAGAAAAAGGGGGAACCCGATTAAATTTTGAATTTCAAATTCGAATTCTCTTCAAAGGATTAGGTTGCCAGCTAGAAAAATTGTACACCTCTCCAACAAACTGATAATCCCAGTCATTCGATTTCTAAAGAGAGGACAAAGGCGATGGGAGATCTCGACACCTGGATTCCGTGCAAAAGGATAAGGAGATGGGAGGGGACGATGCGCTAGGCTGCTCTACTCACACTCTGGTTTGCGTCTAGAGTTGGACGCGATTTTGCTAGTTTTGCGTTTGTAGTTCACGCGGAGAATAAGATGAAGGTGCAGGGGTCTGGTCACATTAGCCGGACTGATGGTTCCTTTTTGGAATGGAAATTAGGCTAAACATTGAGAATGTTTTTTTTTTTTGAATTGTATTGTATGCTGGGCCTGGGAATTGTATTAGAATGGGCTGCAGCTGAGTGAAGTGGATATAAGTGGGCTATCGAAAAATGAATTGAATTTTGATCCAAAATTGGTCTCATAATTGAGTTAAGTTGGAAGTCAAAGATGGATTAAATTTAAGAAGTAGCCAAATTGAGTTAAAATAACAAAATTGGCTAAACCTTAAATAAGATGATTAATATTAATTCATTAAAGAGCTTCTTAATTTTAACAAAAATAAAATAATTAATTTAATTATAAACGAATTAACCTAAAAATATAAATTATTACTTAAACTACACTAGTTGTCGAAATATTTTACTAAAACTAAAAAATTATTGAGATGATTTTTGAATAATCATAAAATATACCAATTATATACATAATTATGTAAAATATATATATTATTTAAAAATTATAAAAAATCACAAAACTATTCAAAATAACGTAAACTTTATATTTTTTCTTAAAATTTTATAAAACTAATTATTTTAAATTGTTCGAAAATTAAGAAGCTCGTGAATTAATTTCTATCGGGGAGGGACAAAATTGGGTGTCAACGACTAGTTTCTCCCTCCTCACATGCCTCATTCTCCTCTCCATTGTCTTTCTTTTTTTGCACCACCGACAACCCCCTAAGAACCACCAGGTACCGCTTATCCTCTCCATCTTCTCCATCGTACCAACAATATGCCTAGATATTGCCGCCTCCAGCATACCAGATCGCCTAAAGAAATGAAAGAAAGAAAAAAAGTGTTGGGCAGGGACGGGGATGGCGGAAAATGTAGGTGGGGAGACCCAAAAAGAAGTTTTTTTTTTGTTTTTTTATTCTTTTATACTTTTGATATTTTTTAAATTTAAATATGGTGTTTACTTGCCATAATAGCGTATAGTCACACTCTCTCGCCAATTCGGTATTATTTTAATGTCACATAAGTATAATCATATGAGTTTGATATTTTGTGTTTTATTGAGTTTATAAGGAATCCAATTGATAAAAAAAACTAAGTAGAAGATTCATAATACAAACTCGAATATAAAAATGCATCCGACCATTTCGTCATTCTTTCGGGTGTAGTCAGATCTTTAGTTCTCTTCACCCAAAAAAAGATACATCCTCTAACTCTATGACTTGTATTACCTAGCACATGCAATCTATACTCTAACTTTGACTTGCCTTTATTTGATTTGTCCTAGTTAACTATATTTTTTAATTATTATTTTGATATCCTTAAATGTAAGATTGTGTACAAGTTGTTCTTTTTATATTTCAATTATGACATATTACTGAATATATTAATATTACTATTACTTATTTTTTATATTTTTGTCCTCCTTTTATTTAACTAGAACTTCAATTCTTACTTGTAATAATTGTACTAAGCAAAATGAGTACTACTGCACATAGAAGTACTAATGTAGACAGAAACTAGCATACACACTTTTGAATTGAAAGATAATTTTTGCAACAATAACCGCATAAGCAAAAATCAAATAAATAGTACCACCAAAATTAGCATTTATTGTATATGAAATGGATAAGATTAGAACCAGTCTTTAGGGAAAAAAAGAGAAAAGTTGTGATAACAAATGTATAACACCATAACTTTAGTGACATAGTACATATCATAACCTTTAATTTTGGGTGCGCTTAAATAGACACTTAAATTTGTATATAATTAAATAAATAGACACATTCATCTTATATGATGTCCTACATGACAATTTTGTGTCCTACGTGGTATCCTATGCGTGTTATGATACGTAGGACATATATGTCTACTTGTTTAATTTTATACAAGTTTAAGTCGTACTTGTACACATCAAAAATTAGAGGACATAGATATCAATTGAAGTCAAGCTAAATGACATATTTATATATTATGCATAATTTTAAGGAAAAATTATTGAAATATAAGTTATGTTTCCCGTTTTTCCAATATTCCCGTCTATTTCTAAATGTAACAACTCGGAAAATGATAGGCTAAACTAGAGCCTTGACGTTTGGGTTAGTATGACTCTAGGGGGATGTGTGGACTATTTTAGAACTTAAATGGGGTGAGGAAGGAGCCTAGGGTTAAAGCTAAGACCAAAACTAGCAAGAAAGGGTGGTAGAAACCCTGTTCTCAGAGGGGTTGTTTGGTGATGAGGTTGTTGATCGCCCATCTTCCTTTGAGATTGCCTAGTGTCTGCCCCATTTTGCCTAGCTACTGGACCAAAGGGCGAGCTAAAGGGTAGCTTGCAACCCAGCTTGGTATGTCTCCCATCTCCCCTCCAATCACCCAATTATTAGCCCTTTTAGTGAGCCACTGGAACAAAGGGCGAGCCAAGGGTGTGCTGGGCGAGTTGCCTAGTGCACTTGGCGAGCCCAAGTGTCCAAAAGGCGAGCTCATACGGGCTAAGGGCATAATTTTAAGTTGCAAGTTTTAGGGTCCTTAGTTCTTTTCCAAAATAAAATCCCTTTTATTCTATGCCTTCCCTAGAAACTGTAAGACCCCTTTTAGACCTAATTCCTTCATTTAAGTCACTCCAAATAGAATTAAAAAAAGAAATCCACCTGCTCTTAAATATTTCTCTCTCTACAATCCTCCATTGAAGAAGGTCAAGAACTTGGAGCTAGGGTTTAGATTCAAGGTGGTTTTTTCATCAATTTCTTAGGGAATCTTAGCAAAGGTATGGTGATCCTTCATATACGGATAGCTTCCATCCCTAAAGTCAATTTCAAAATAGATTTCATGTTCATGAAAAACTTAGGGTTTTACTGAATCTCATGGGTTCATTCATCAGATATTTTCAAAAGGTTTCTAGTGACGAACTATGATCATATTGATGTTTAATTGATGATTTAAGATGATTTTACTCTATGAACCCATTATTTCTCTCATTTCCTAAATTTGTACATTTATGAAAGTGGGTTTGATGATTGTGAAGGCTTAAGAATGGAACATGTCTAAATTGCTTTGGGATATTGAATTGTATTCTTATTCATGCTTAAGTATGGTAAATTGATGATATAGTGATGACTTGTGAAATTGTACTTGAAGGGGAAAGTTATGATCAATTACTTGACTTGTGAATTAGATGTTGATCAACTTGAGAGATGAAGGTGTTTACATACAATGCACATTGTGATATTGTATTGATGGATATTTCCTTGTACCCCTAATGTGAAGATTAATGTGTGATTAGTCTGTGACACCTATGTAAATTGAATGAAAGTCCTATTATCATGTTTAGAAGCTAATTTTGTAAGTAGTGGATGTTATCTCTCAATTAACACTTAGTGATGATTATGTAAAGGCTATTCTCACGCACACTCACCACACTTGAATGAAGAATGAATGAAGTTCAATGATAATGTTAATAATGATGAAGTACTATTTTAAAGGTCATTCTCAATTATACTCTAATGAATGAATGTGGATTTGGGATGGATGCTCATCTCAGTTGAGGTGGGGTATCTAGTAGCAATCTCTTATCTTATAATATACTAATATAATGAATGTAACCTAATCCATATGGAATAATTCCAAACACTGCGTGGATATGGATTGGAATGGGTGCTCATCTAAGTTGAGGTGGGGCACCTAGTAGCAATCTATTGAGGCATATAGTAGCAATCTCTTTATCCCTGAAACTATGTTCTCACATATGTATACCTAGTGGATCCACTTAAGGCTAAACAAATGATGGTCCTACGTTAGGCAAGTGGAAATTCCTTTATTCGGTGAGGGTGACACCAGGATTATGTGTCAAGCTCACGTGGTCTATGTCGATTAAGGTTTACCCCTATAAAGAATGTCAATGAACTATGTCTTCTCAAGGATGTACTACTTAATATGGGTGGTGGAATGGAACGCCTCCTATGGATTTCACAAGTAGGCGTTTGAGAGAAGTCATGGTGTGTTCTTTGTAATTCTAATGAAATTGTTGGGCTCTTATGATGATGTTTATGAGCATGTTGATCTAATAGATAATGAATAAAGGTTCTCTTAATGTAATGAAATCTAATGAAGAATTTTGACTCTTAAATGCTTATATGCTTAAATGCAAAGAATGCATGATATACTTGGACTATATTATAATGACTTGCTTCATTGTCATGTCCTATTGTATATGAATGTGCCTTGTCTATGATGACTTCAAAAGAGCTTTCATATTGCAAAAGTATGACTTAGAGTTGTCTTAGATGTTGGTCTAAATGTGATGATGTGATTCATGTGATGTTTATGTCTCCAAATGTTTTATTGTGTAAAAGGTGAAAGGAGTTGGATGGTAAGTGCACTTTGGTGACCTTAGTGTGGTGTCTTAGTGTGGATGGTGGTATGGGACGTTATCCATACACTGCACAAGATAGCATGAAGGGTTATTTGAAGTAGAGGCTCAAGGTAAAGGTAAAGATTTATATATGTGAATGAGTTCAAATTTTAAATGTGACTTATATGTTGGTTGTGACTTATATTATGTCTCTAGTGTTCAATGTTCATGAAGTTTTAATAAATGACATAAAAGCATGACTTTCAATTAAATGTCCTTTTTTGAAGTATGGTTTTGCATGGTCATCATACTTAGTATATTTCTATGTGTTAACTCATATTCTTCATATTTTACAACAAGTGTATGTTCTGGCAAGTGATCGATCTCTTTACTGAAGCTTGGAATTTCGGTATGTCCTCATAGTTTGAGGACAAACCATTTATGTTTCCTTTTATTCATGTAATAGACATATAGTAGTCATTTCGATTGCAAAGGGTCGTGTTCCTACTATGTTTTGAGACTGTGTCGAAGATGATCATGTGAGCCTTAGTCTTCCCTTGTGTCTTTTGAAAGATTGTTTGATGAATATTTTGAATCTTATGGTTTTAAATAAAAAGTTTGAATTCTTTACGATTTCTATTAAATACACGATGAATGAATTTTAAGAGGCTTGTATTAGACCCTTCGGGGTCGAGTACGTCGT